GACAAATGACGCTTACGACAAAATTTTACTAAAGAAAATCCTTCATAAACTCAAAGCTAATTAACATTAAACATTACAAATTAAATAATTTAAGAACTTTGTGAACTAGTAACATTTTCAGAGACTTTGGAGAACATCTGTCTTTGCGTTTTTGAGAAATTGCATTCCAAACTTCAATCGCGATTCCCACAACCTGCCTAAATCAACATACGACAATCTTTTACCCAGGTGACGACCTAGAATTCTTATTTTTGCTGCAAGTGCAATCAAACTAATCAAACTAATCGAGTAATCGCGAGCTTGGCATAAATAGTAACGAACAATTTAAAATATATATAAATGCTTTTACTAATAATTTTGCGGAATTTAATTGTTAAGTTATAAAAAAACTTTCAAAGGACACTTTCCCTGCAAAAATCGCGACTACTCCATGCATGCGTGTAAAGAGTACTCCCTAAAGACCAAGGAGTACTCGAAAATTAACCACAATTCATATAAAAAATATGATCCAATTAACATTGTGATGTCCTAGGGCAGGACCTTATACTCCATCCCTGCATTACATCAGAGTAGCACAAAACTACTCCAACATATTAACAATGGCATTGTTGTTATATTTTTTTCGTTTGTACACGCTTTTGTTCTTCACTTCTCAGATGCTTTTTCGAAATTAATAAAAACCAAAAACAAAAATTAAAAATAACATGTTGCCTCTGACGGCATTCGAACCCGAACATGCTGGGAGCTAACAACTAACAGCGAGCATCTCTACACGTTCAGCTACAGCCAGAAATGCAAATGTGCTTTCAAATGCTCAACTTCAATCACAATTCGTTAAAGCACGAGCAGTGATCGGGTAACAAACAATAAGCTGGCACAGAGACACGAGTTGGTCCGCTACAGCATGTCAGAGGAACACTTTTGTAAGTACTCCAATATACCACAAATAGACTACATGGTCCAATGATTTTTGAAGGGTTACAGCAACCGCTTTCTAAAATTTCTCAATTGGACAGTCTTTTCGAAATACATTGCATTGCAACGTCTGACACGCCCTTTAGTGTCTAGAAAGATTGCCAGAAATTGATCGCTGTCAAAATCAATTGTCAAAACATTTTGCAAGGCGAATTCGCTTAGCATTTTGTGTCGATTGTGTGGTTTTTTCATCATTAATTACTGTGAGACACTTATTTCTTCATAAATATGGGTACCAAACGTAAGCACATCGAGGATGAGTTATCCCGTTTCGAAGCAGAAATATCTAAACCAGCTACTCAGCCCATGCGGAACATGTTTGTGCCCAGTCAAGTGCGCCCTATAATTGCAGCAAACACTTTCCAAGTTCAGCAAAAGCTACAGCAGCACCCACAAGCAACCATAGCTACATGTTCTTCTACAACTACAACGTCGTCTGTGGCAACACCATCACGAATTTCGGTGCCGCCGCCAGTAATTCCGCCACCCACTTTCATGTCAACCTTTGTGCCCACACAGGCGAATGGAAATAGTGGTCCCTCAAAAACAGGAGCCCCATCTTCGGCTAGTGTTACAGCTACTCCAGTTGTGGTCAGTAGTGCGCCAAAACTTTATCAAAGTAGACAGTCAGTAAATGTTCCTACTACACCACACATAGACATCAATGCTATACAATTTGATGTTACTCAGAAACTAAAAAAGCTGAAAGCAGAGAAGTCAGGTCCAAATCCTATAGCTGAAGAAGCAATAAAAGCTGCTCGAGCGTCTTCGGCATTGCAATCA